TGGGTCCTGAATCTATCATCTATTAAAGATTAACTTTTTGAATGGAATTATGGAAGTTAAACAACTTTTCCATGATATTCTAATTTTTTGGAAAGAGTCTGTACATATATATTTATATATACACCCCCACACAGGTGCTGGTCATAAAATGTTGGTTACGTACCATAACCCCAGATTCTATGAGTATAGACGTAGCCCTTTAAGGCTGTCGCTAGTGGGTTTCATCTCGTCGCGCGCAGCACTGAAAACTTTAGTCCACGCCCACCAGTTGTGTGGGCCTCACCCGGTCCGTATAAATTACGTTGAGAGCAGGTAATCGGCTCCCAAATAGCTTTTTCTTCAGCCATTTAGGAACCAGTGAGGCCCAGAGCTTAAAGGGCTACGCCTATACTCATAGAATCTGGGGTTACAGTACGTAACCAATGTTCTATTTCGTATAGGCTTCGCCCTTTAAGGCTGTCGCTAGTGGGTTAAAGGCAAAGCAGGATATAGTCTATGCCTCACTGGATCCGTTCAGACACAATATGAAGCGCCTGCTTGCTCCAAAAAACATTTCATCACTCAGCCTTCTGTGTGCGTAATTACACGCTGCGTAATTAAGCGCACCATGCACAGAAGCACGCTGCGTAATTACGTGTTCCATGCACAGGAGCGCCCGGAGAGAAAAAGTTTACGACGGGGGAAAAAAGGGGAAGGCTGAAAGCAGTCCTGATTGGTAACAGCAGTCATGAACTGATTAGTAACGATAGAAAACAGCAGTCACAAAACTTGTGACTGATAATAAATATCTCATACTGTAATTACATGCAGTCAGATGTGAGTTTAAAATTAAATTCCATGAAAACAGTAAGATTCATTCTGTTATACCACTAAGAACAGAATGGGCCATGGAAAAAGCCGAAACATCACGCAGATAAAGGTGGATAAATGAACAAGGCCATGTCCAAGCGGCCGCGTACAAATATCCTGCACTGTCATACCACTATGCAAAGCTGTCGAAGATGCAATTCCTCTGGTGGAATGAGCTCTGAGGTTTTCTGGAGGCTCCAATCCTGATGCCCTGTAAGCTTCAGAAATGGCCTCACACAGCCAGTGTGAAAGACGCTGAGTGGATAACGGGCGACTTGCAGAGATGTCCCAATAATGCACAAACAGACGCTGAGTCTGCCGCAGAGGGGCCGTGCCTGTTATGTAACATGCCAGCGCACGCACAGGACAGAGGAGATGAAAAGATGCTTCTTCTGATTTGTGAGGGGGAGGATAAAACCCCTCCAATGTTATCATTCTCGATTTAAATGAACTTGTGATGTTTTTGGGCATAAAAGCTGGATTAGGTCTCAGCGCAGCTGAGCTGCCATCAGCCTGAATCCTGAGGCATGACAGGACAGCA